TTAAGTTTAGTGATATGACAATAGTTAAAAGCGATAACTATCGTAACTGACTTGCTGATGGCCAAACCTACAAAAATAAGTTGTAATAAACTTGAATTATCCTTTAATGATCTCCGTAATGGAAAGTGAAGTGAATTTTCGCCTCGCGTCACTTGTGCGAGTTTGACAGCTGAATCATTGGTGTTTACTCGTATTATGTGCGCGTGTAACGCAAGTAAACACAATCTGGTTTACTACTGCGATATGAAACATAAATAAACATGTTTTTTGTCATCCGACATGAATTGACGCTATTCACGTTGCATGGACTTTGTATGTAATCACGCCACGCCAAAAAATTTGCTTCGCTTTCTGTGTGAACACACAGTAAGTATCCACTGAACTGAAGTGAGAAAGAAGCTAATTTCCTTCCAGCTCCAACTCCTCTGCTCCAGTTGTTTTGAATCTGTTTTCTGATCTCAGTGGAGGGGCAACAGAAATGATACGTTATCAATAAAATGCTATAATTTACATGGAAAAATTAATATTCTTGCAAGTAGGTAAAAGATCAAGTAATAGGTTAATAACGAACAAATAAAACTGAGCAAAGAATTCCAAAGTATTGATGTTTTACTGTGGCTAACTTCAAAGTAGTTTTCCATTACCACCATTACTCATCTCAGTGTCCATTATCTGTATCAGGTCAAGCTGATCTTTATCTAAATGAATGTGTGAAAACATGTTGTACAGCAGTGCTCTGCTTCCTCTCCTGGTACTGCATTAACTCACAGCGTCACTAATTTCCCCGCACAAGCTTATGTTACATTGGTCTATGGTCATAAGGATTCTGCACATTTCCTAATGTACAGAGTAAAAGCAACCATTACTGGGCGTGGGCCAGAGGGGGGGAAGGTCAGGAGAAGAAGCACCACAGGGATGGTCAATAAGCAGAAGAGGCTGACATGGAGAAAAACATAAATTACAGGAAGCAAGGGATGTAGTTTTTTTTTTTTCAAAAATCTAGTTTGAACAAATGACAACTAGCATGTGTGTTGATCAAATTAATTTAACATGATTTTGGAATCAGAGAGATCATCACAGATTGAATATTTATGTATTTTCCCCACAGTCGAATTTCATGTTAAAACTGGCTCTACCCCAAAATAACCCACAGTCATTCATTTAACAAAAAACAAAACCTGATGTCTCCAGGGAAATTACAGCAAAATTGAAGTCATTACATTTTCATCTAATCAATTTGTGTGTTATGGTTATTTGTGGAGGTGAACCACTCACAGCTTTGCCCTTTTCAACGTCTATTCAAACAAGCAACAATGCCAGAGATTCAGCAGCCACACAGCTCCACTAAGGTGCCAACTAAAGCAAAAATATTAAAATGATTGTTGGTGTCTTAGGTGGGTGCATCAGCATCATTCAGCATCTGGAATCACAGATGACTCATCTGGACAGGAAAAGCTCTCAGATCATTAGGCCGGTGGAGACAGAGGAGAGATGCTAATGTAAGAGCACGCAGGCAAGGCATTAGGAGCCATCCTTTGAAGGATGTGTATTTCTAGAGATGTGATGAGTCAGCAACAGGAGTTCCTGCAGTTAAATGTTGCAACAGTTGCAGTGTAGAGGCTGCGAGGCAGCGTGGTCGCCTTGTGTTTATAGAGGATGTAACTGAAAAGACACAAGTTCTCCGCAGCACCTCGAGCCGCTATGGCATGCTACTGTACTTGCATACTCAGATGCAAATAGGTGTTATGTTAATAAATATAAAGCACAAATCAATTGAATTAAAGAGCAGAACAAGCTGTGACATAACCGTGACATATCTTCACCTTAAAACGTTACAGTAATATGTAATAAATATATTTACGCATCCCGCAGACATGGAGCATGTTGTGAGTCATGTTTTTGGCCACCTGATGAACGTAGGTCCAATAGTCACTCTCCTTCCGCTTGTGTTTTGGTCCCCACCTACTCCTGAGAAAGCTAAGATAGCTGGCTAAAATGCTTCACTTTGTCTGTCTGCTGTGTGGTGCTGGGCAGGTAGTGTACAGTTGGTTTACGCTGAATCCAGCTGCCTGCTGCATCTGGAAATAATACTAATGAGAGTGCTGACAGTGATCTAAAACAATGAGCAGAAAGATACAAACGCTTTCAGTGAACTGTTGATAATTATCCACACTATAAGCAAAACCTTTCGCGCTACACAAAGACACTGGACTAATAGTTAATATAAAAATACTGCTCAGTGCAGCATTAAATGTCACACGATGAAAACATGTACAGGTCATAGAAGACTCGTTTTCAGGCCTAAAACTCTGAAGTGAGTTTTGTTGCTCCACAGATTCAAATTTAAAGTGAATATAAAGGAAATGCAGATTTAATTGCTCTTATATAATGAGAGAGAATAAGAATAATAAGAATGCACACACAATACACACAAACACACACTTAATGAGATTCGACTGCCACTCTGCATCCTCAGCATGCATGTCACACTTCATCTTCTCACATATGCACACACACACTCACACACACTCACACACTGGACGTGCTGATGAGAAGCAGGAGCACAATTAGACTTGTAGGTCAGAGGGATGGGTCACTTGATCTGGCTCATAATTTAACAGTTTCTTAATCTCGTATTACTAACAGAGCAGAAAGAGAGGGTGTAGACCAAGAGAACAGGGGAAGAGAAAATGCATGGAGAAATGGCGTTGGGAGAGACGAATGATAACGCCTAATTGATTTATGTAATCATCCATACCTTCGGTAAACACACTTAATGAACTCAGCAAAGATTCAGAGGGAGAGACATCTGGAGGAGGATTTAGCCGTGTAAACACATTCTTCGTGAAGTCAGATAAGCCTGCTGGAGAGACACAGACTGCGTGGCATCCCTTCAGCTCCTTGCTGTCTCGCTGAACGCACACGTCGAGGTTAACTACTCTCACCTGCTGCATCTTCCTCACTCAGTAATGTATTGCTTTGTGGAAACCGCACACACACACACAAAATGGACTGTCTTGAGTTATTTATACTGCTGTGAGAAGCAGTTCACCTCATTTCCTCTCTTTCTCTCATCCTCGTCGTCTCTCACACACAAACAAACACACTCCACGGTCTAATTTCAAGCATTTCTGACAGCGTGGTCCATCTTCCCTCACCCATCCATCTTTTCCATATCTCATCTTCGCCTGGTTTTCCTCACTCTCCCTCCTGCTCTTGCCCTCTGTGTACTGTAATGTAATGTGCTTTCTTCCCTTCTCTTCATATCTACACCAACTTGCATATTTCTTTCTCTTGGCTATCCCTCTCGCTATCTCACTTACTCTGTCCTCTTCAATCCATTCCTTTTCCCCAGACAGACATTATGTGAGGGAATGGCGATTGATTTTCTAAAAACCCGTTTTCCTCCATCTCAGGGTTTTTTCTCTATTTCCATTAAGGCAAGAACACACCCCTTCTTTCTCTTTGCTGTCCTCCCCCTTTGACATTTGTGCGTGTCGTTGTAAGGTTGCTTTTCCATAGATTTCTCTCTCTATATATAACTATTTTGGGCTAATGTGAACGATCCTGGCTTCTTTCCTTCACTTGTTTTCTCTGCAGCCACTCTATCTTCGCACATTAAGGTCGCAATGCCAATATACAGTAGGGATGAAGGTCTTATTAAACTGCTGATCTGAAATATCAGCGAATTACCACCAGCTCTTTAATCCATATTAAGAGCAATGTGACCTTTGTGTCAGAACTGCCTTTACAGTGTGCTTTTTGACACATGAGAGGAGAAGTTGTAAAGCAAAAGTGTTAGTACATGCTTTGTCAGCCTCTTAAATGTCTCTCTCTCTCTCTCTTTATTCAGCCTTCTTGCCTTCACTCAGCACGGATCTGACTGCAAACGTTCATCAGCAAAAATGTAGCAAACACAATTCTTTCCCCTCAGATGAAGTACTTATTTCTGGATGAAGCACTTTTGGAAACTTTAGCCCAGAACCAAAAATAGCTTCCATACTGTATCTGCCGCTTGACAGATGAAAGAAGCAGTGACATATTTTATTCCAGGAATTTAAAGTTTCTCATTTTCTCCCTAAAAGTTCCCGGCAGGGAGAGTTTAAATACTTTGTCTATTCTTCATCCATCTTCTCTGCTCTTTCCTGGTCTTATCCCCCATGTCTGTCAACCTCTCCTGCGTCTGTCCCCTCCCTCGCTGCTACAGTGCCTCCTGATCCTCTTCTCTCCCTTCAGTCCCATTAGTTATCTCCTGATGCTTCATTAACTATTAAACACCAGATAGAGGGAAGAGGAGAAGAGGGGCTTGTTGTGAGGTTTGTGTCTAGTTTGCAGTAATAAATGGACATTGGGGCATGACAGCAGCACAGAGAACAGGATAGGAGGGTGGGGCAGATCCACGGGGTCTCTTTCTCTTTTCTGTAATGATAAGTGCAAGTCAGGCGGTGCAGCTGCTTTCTGTCCTCTGGGGTGAGCTGTCATTGTTAGTACCAGAATATGAGAGAAGAGAGAGAGATTTGCAGTAACAGCAATGAAATAGCAACAGATTTTAGACCACTAAACAGGCTGCTTTTTCTCTACATGTACTGTCTCCAAACTGCAGCCCTACTTCTTCCCTTCAGGAAATCAGGGACACACCTTCTCATCCAGTCAAGAAGGTTTTTGGTTAATCCAGAGACACTGAAGCCTTTAGATGACGAGTTTAAAGAGTCTACAGCGTCTATCGAGTAGATGAGGATGTACTGCAAATATAATTTCCTGAATTTTGCCTCCATCTAGTGGTCATCGACAAAAATGGTTGATTTTCCCCAAAGAATATACTTATCAACTGAATGGCAACATTTATTGTTAAAACAACAAGGTCGTTATATTGAAGAAGGTCAAAATAAATGCAAAAGTAAAAAAAATAGTCAAATATAACAAATCTCAAAGTAATGACAAATTATATAGACTATAGGATAATAATAATAATACTGATGCCTCTGTGTGCCCGTTGACAGACTGTCTGATGTTGGGAACGGACGTCGACCTGCAGCAGGTGGAAAACAGTGTGTTCGCTATGGAGATGGTATTGAAGGCGTGGCTTCAAGAGCAGGGAGGCGACGGAGAGCACCTCCACCTCCTGTTGCCCAACCCCCTGGACAATCCCATCCCAGGTACAGATACTGCACACAAACATACCTGTGTGATTTCAAATGATTGTGGGACTGTTGAGCGTAATACTATGAGAACATGCAGTTTACTTCGACACAGTTTCAATACAAATACATAGGCAGCCAGTGGTTTTATCACACATTACAAATAATAACAAACTGCTACTAAATACAGGAAAAACATACTAATCATGTACGTGTGTAGACCTTATGTTATGATTCTGACCTCATTTACACCTGTTATTGATATGCAGTGTGGATCTGGATATCATCTCTTGTTAAATGCATGTTAATGTCAGGTGGATGTGCATCCAGAACGCATTACTATCTGTACTCACCTTGTTTGTTGACAAATCTGCCAACTCCACCACCTGCATATTGAAATCAAATCATACACAAGAATATAATCACCCTTACCTTATTAGTACCAGGTGTAAATGCTAAGATATAAATACAGGTGGCATGTTATAGTAATCTCCGATGTCTTTTCACACTTTGATATGACTTTTGTCACCTGCGTAAGTGTGTGTGAAGTGTGACATGCAGGAGCGTCTGATAAGCCCCGCCCTCATCCCCCTGAACCCCAACCTGGGAGTGAAGACCGAGAGCGTTCGGGACTTTCTGCCTGCTTCTAAGGGACAAGCCAATCAGAGCCAACCGCCACAGAGACTGAAAGCAATCAAGTGAGATACAGGGAGGGGGGGGGGGCTTCTATTGCTTTTAACTCAGATATATCCACATGCTTTTTGAGCTTCAGTTAAAAGGAATAACAAAATAACAATGCTGAAATTTACGTTTTTCTCACAACTACACAACCTGTTGAAAGTGATTGAAAGCGCGGGCTGTTAAGAGGCCAGGAAATGTACATGAATGGCTTGAAATGAATGCTGATAATTTCCCCCACCTTTTGCATGTGTTTGAACAACCGTAGTCTAACCATACCGATGATCAATTGCATTATTGTTGCTTTGGAAAATGGATTTTACTGTAATAGTGATGTGGTTGTCAAAAATAACCCCAAATGAGGTATAGGAGCAGCAAACAAACTCTGTGATAGACGACAAGTTTCAAGGGAGTGTCTCGATGTGATGTCTGCCTTCACCATGTTTCCAGTCACATGCATGCTTCCTTGTCTTTTAGATTGTTGGTGTGTGTGTGTGTGTGTGTCTGTGTGTCTGTGTGTGTGTGTGTGTGTGTGTGTGTGTGTGTGTGTGTGTGTGTGTGTGTGTTGTTACGTCAGCCATGTGTAATGTGTGTATTCAGTAAAACCCCAGCTGTCTATGAATGGCTCCATTCTGGTAGCACGGAGTAGTGGAATATTTCTTAGATGAAACTCTCTCTCCCATCACATCAGAGTCTCCTTTGTTCTGCTGGAGTCATCTGCTCTGATGCTGGAAAAGAGCTGGGCAGAACAACTGATCCATGCCTGAAAGCTCCAGTCGAGAATTTTTCAAGACAAGCAGTGCCTCATTACACCTGCTACAAGAAGGAGTAATTATGAAAGCTGTAAGCAGCGTTGAATAAGCGACTCTGAATCTGCATTAGTAAGCTGCATATTGGACAATGTATAGTTTAGCTACAGCACCCTGTTTTATGGCAAAACATGCAAATTGTTTGCCTTTTGTTTAGACATTTTTTCTAAAAGACATTAAATTTAGAGAGAGGAGAGAGAGATTATTGATTAATTAATTAATTATCAATTAACCATTGATTCTTAACATTATAAAAGGTTACACGTTGAGATTTCAGGCACTACAAACTGAAGAACTTTAGCTTCGCCAGCTAGCATGATCCGTACTACTATCCTGTGTACCACCGGTATCATGTCAAATGTGGTGTGATTTGTTTATTCTAGCCTGTAGTGATTAAAGGCAGGGCAGCCAGCTAACGTTCACAAGGAGCCACCGCTGTTTGCTTTGCAATGTTCAATTTAGATTTATTGTCATTTTACCAAAACTCAGGGATGCAGCTTCTCCACCGTCTCAGTTGCTGTAACTTATGTGACCCTCATAATAGTGTATAATAGTGTTGGTATTGTGGAAAACAATGGGAAACAATGGTGGGAGTTTACCTGAGATTCCAGCATGTTGTGTGAAGATGTCTGCCGTTGAGTCTGTCTATAGCCGCTTTCAATATTGTGCCAGCTTGCCGCGCTCTATGAAAAATAACGGAGTTACGGAGCCGGAAAAAAAGCCACAGTCAGCATGCTGATGTTTCCATGTTTATTGTGGGATCTCTGTATCAAAGCGGTTGTGTTTCAGATTTTGCTCACTCATGAGTTCGAACCGAGCAAAACTACATATTGCCCCTTTAACAAAACATTCTGGGAGACTGGATGAATGAAACCAAAACTCAAAACAAACAACTATCTCGCCATGAATATAACTGGCAGAGTCTGTCTTCACTGTCAGAGATACAAAGCAGAGACGTATGAATGAAAATTCATTGTAATTAATTAACTAATCGTAGTTATCACCGCAAAGGCTCCTGTATATAAAGTGTGGACCACACCATGAAAATGTCATGTAAATCAAACGAAGATTGTCACACAAAGCTTACTTCCTGCTGTCTGTAGGCGCTGCAATTCCTGTAACACCTGATTGGCATATAGTCTATAGATATCCTAAGACCAGGACTCTTGTCAAATATGTGGCTTTTGGAAAAGATTTCACAATTTAGAGTCGAGTTACCAGTTACTAATAAACCAGTTAGCACTTCCACTAATTTTAGAACATTGAAATTCACCACATCGCCACGTCAATGGCCATTTAAAAAAGCCCAGAAGAGCCTCATAATTTATCATCGCAAACATCTTAAGATTGCACTGCCCAAATTTGAAGTCTATCAGATGAGTTCTCTAGGTCTGTATTTTCGAAACATTTCATTTTCAATACAAAATGGCTGACATCCAGTTGGGTTCAGGGTTTGGCTCCAGCAGGCTTTTTTATTGTTTGGAGGTGACACAACTGCCTCCCAAATTCTAGGTGAAACGTTGTGTTATGCAGGAAACCCAAAATGGCTGGCTTTTTTAGGCACCCTAAGCCACTCAAAAACATGTTTTACAAGCAGAAAAACCATTACATTCGTATTACCAATAACAAAAGGTTTCTAACACTTCTGTGCTAGGGCCCTAATAATTTCTCTTTTTTTTTTTTTTTTTACATTTTAAAAAGTTATGTAATATCAATCTAACTATGATTATTTAGACTTAACTATGATTAACTAGATAATGATTGGCAGACTTTCAAGGTGTGTAAATTACAGTATATAGTGTCCTTAGCTTTTATTATATTTCCTTACAGGATCCGCAAAATGAATCCAAAGTTATTCTGAGGGTAAACTCATTTTAAATGGCTCATGTAGCATTCTTGTGTAGCTGAACCAAATGCATTAAGTCAAACAAATTCCAGTAAGGTTTGTTTGATGACTCACACCACAAAGAGCAGCAAACCGGAGTGATAATAGAAAGCAGACATTCAGACCGATCCTAGGCAAACAGTTTCTTCTTCTTCCCTGATTTGCATTAGTAAAATATTTTCAGGAGCTGCAGGATGTAATTTGTGTGTGTGTGTGTGTGTGTGTGTGTGTGTGTGTGTGTGATTTGCATACTGATGAGTCATGATTAACAGCAGTGACATATAAATGGAGGTGGGGGACGGTCACAGGGATGATGTCATTCTCCGTCTCCAAGCTCTTGATGATTTGTTATGTGTTTGCATGCAGCCTGTGTTCTACTGGAAACTATTTCATGAGCTTAGAGAAGATAGACGACGTCTTCTTTGTCATGAAATGTTTTTCTCTACAGTTTCAGTGGTCTCACGCAGAACGCTTTGCTTTGATTGGAGACGGTTATTGTGGAGCGAAAAGATAGTGTGTCCTTCATTTTGGGTCTGCGTGCTAACCAAGGTTTTGTGCGTGTGCTGCAGGACTCTTCGTGCTGACGGAGTGTGTGAGAGTGTGTTGTACGGCCTGCCGCTGGTGATCCGCCCCACAACCTGCTGGCAGCTGGACTGGGATGAAATGGAGTCCAACCACAATATGTTCCACGCTCTCTGCCACACACTCAGGGTGCATGACTGTGAATTGTTTTAGAGAGCCAGGTTTCAGGTGTTATGAAGAGCAGCATTGTTTATTGAGACTGGTAACAGCATACAGCATGCGAACACAGTGTAGCACCAACAGCAAATCTCCAGGATACTTCCTGTCTGGGTGTATTTATCCTTTCTAGACCTACAGACAGGGTTGGGAGGGTTACTTTAAAAATATAATCCAGTACAATTACTAATTACTTGTTTAAAAATGTAATCAGTTACATAATCTAAGTGCCAAAAAATAAAAGTAATGTAATCTGATTACTTTTAGTTACTTTTGGATTACTTCAATGCCAAATAGGCAAATGAAGACAAGAGAAGTATCAATGATGTGTTGTCTGCTCAGTGTATTTTTAGAGAAACATAGAATAACAAAATTTCATATTCCCAAAATCCAAAAGTTTTCATATGATGAGCTATGGCAGTATCTTGCCCATCAATGACAAAAACATTGTTTTGTAGGTATTGTTGATGATATTTAAGTTTGACATTTGGGAAACCATTTTACAATTTTCATTACTCATTCTGCACAGCACGAACAGCACCGAACACAGCCTCAATGACCAACAGGGAATCCAGTAACTTACTGAGATGATTTACAAAGAGCTTCGGTGTTAGCTTTGCTTTTTGCTAAACTGCTAACTGTTGCCTATCTGCCTGTATCTGTGGCCGGTTACTTCGGTAGGTTAGCAGTGCTGCTAGCGGTCCTATAAACTTCATCAGCCCCAGGTTGCCAAGAGCCAAATGTTGTAAGAAAACAGTCACAATAACACTGCATTTTCTGTTTCATGGAAACTTTCTGCTTAAAGTAATCCCTATGAGTAATCCCAGATTTTACAAAATGTACCTGTAATCTGATTACGTCTATTTTTTCTGTACTGTAACGGAATACAGTTAAATTTTTTTGTATCCTGATTACGTAACGCCGTTACATGTAATTCGTTACTCCCCAGCCCTATTTACAGACGTTCACTAAGTCTCCAAATAAGTTTACTTCTCTATACGTGTGTGAAGATTCTATTAAATATAGGTCAAAAGAAGACACTATGCTTAGCTGAAGTTAACCTAAGTCACATTGTGTGTCATTCGAGCCACATGCAACACTTTCTACATAGAGCCAGACAGTCTGTCTGTAATGAAAAATAAAGGTAGTCCTGACCTGGGGTTACCTAGGAGTTGAATCACAGAGTACATTCTTATCAAGACAGCTGCATCATTAGATCGACCAAGCATAGAAACAGAGTCTGACCTGAGTCACTTTTGGCTTACTCAGCTCAGCAATTGAGTACCCCTAAAATACCTTCAATGAATTTATTCATCCTTTGACAATTTTCTTTACAATTTAGACGTTTTAGATTTTATCAACAGAAATGGGCAAAATATAACATTTATAAACAAGCATCAGCTTCTGTAAAAAAAGAAAAAGAAAACAGTAGAAATCCTTGTTTTATTGTGGATCACATTATAACTTTATGCAGTTTATCTGTATATATGTCTGAGCTTTGCAAACCAAGTTCCTTTTTAACTTTTAAAAAACAGCTACTAGGATAGTAATACTTAAGAGAACAACAAAACACTAGAATTATAACAATTTACTAAATAAAAATCAATATAGATTTTACATTAACGTGAGTTTAATATAGTTTCCATCACTTTCCTCTTCTTCCTTGTGCTTAGCTGGATCACTGACCCTCTGATTGGCTCGAGTTTACTTTTTGCACCTTGTAAATTTCTCTGTCTTCCTCTGTGCAATACAAATGAATGAAATTGTTTGATGTTGGATTTGTTTTGTTTTTATTTCAGAGTCGTGACTTGTTCCTGCTGCTGCAGGTGGAGCTGGCACAGAGGTCCACAGCTGGAGGCTCAGGTCCATATAAGTGTGTGTGTTTGTGTGTGTGAGAGAGAGAAAGATAGAGAGTAATGTTGCGAATGTATCAGTCCTTGTGAGTGCACTTTAATGCCCTCCATATGTATGTTTTTGTGTACAACACAGGTGTGTATTCTCACTATATCCTCCAGCCATCCCCGTCTCTGTCCCTCCTCCTGAAGCCGGTGGTCTCCAGAGAGCTGCTGCTGCCCTGCTCACTGCCCATCTCAACTCAGGAACCTGCACTCCATGCTATGCAGGTTATACAGGTTAGTTGACCTTTGTTCATTGTAAACTTGCCACAGAAGTATCAGACAGAGAGCAGAAATAGATAGCTTACCAATGCATATCCAGGAACTGAATTCAGGGCTGATGAAAAACAATTTCACATCTTCAAAACAATTCTTTATTTGACTGTTGAGTTTATCAGTGAAGTAATTCTCTCTTCCCACCACAGTAAGAATATCACTGCAATAAGCACTTCTGATAAAAGATTAAACTGTTGAATAAAGGTGTTTCTCTGAGGTAATATCTGGTCTATGGATGGGATGTAGATCATCTCATCTGAATTGAAGTTGGAACCAATAACAGAAAAAGGTATACATCTCTGCAGTCATCTAGAGATATCTATACATATTTATAGATATAGCATAAGCAATTACAATGACAAATTCAAGTTCTGAATTCTGCCGCCGGAGCTGTGGAGTCTGGATCTGTGGTTGCGGGCCACCTATTGCTCCAAGAGTGTATGCTTCATTTTAACATTGGAGGGGGGCGCATATTAAGCGGGGGAAACACTTCATTTCCTGCATTCTGGTGATTTTTTTCTGTATCAGTGTCTGCTTTTTCTGCTTCAATTTATGGTGGAAATGTTTAAAATGAAATGTTTATTTATGCAACAGGAAACCCAAAATTTAGGTGGCAGTTGACAATTCAAAATATATGAAAAATAGAAGGAATAAGATCCAAAGAAGGTTACATCAAGTGACTACTGGACCAGATTGAAGATACATGAAGAAGTTTTGCCTCTTACCTAAGAGGCTTCTTCCGTACTGAAGAACTTGGATAACTGTGACCTGGATGACTGAGAATCTTCACAGACATAATGAAATATATTGCAGTAAGACGTCAACACACACATGCAGGCATGATTTTGTCTTCCCTCCTCTTTTGTGTTTTTTTTGGGGAAGTAACCTCTTTAAATGTGCATGTGGCACCAACGATTACATATATAATCACATTAATTCAGTTATGAACTCCTGGATTTTAGTAGCTCCTGTGTTTCAGCAGGTTTTCTGCTCATCTCTACCCCATATGTGTTCTCTGACATGTCAAGAAAAAAGTCTACAGACACAGAACCGTACGGGACTGTACTGGATGAGACACATGCGCTGCTCTTCATCAGAGGGGGGGGGAACGAAATATTCCCTGCAGACCCACAGAAATGTTAACTTTCAGCTGTTTGGGACTGCCTCCGACATAGCGAGGAAGTCCCAAACAGAGCAAAGGTGTCATCAAGCAAAGGGCACGCAGAGACAGCAGTGATACAGAGCTACGGGTCAGAGGAAAGGCGCTACATTGCAGTCCAATGTTTAAATAACTTTAAACTGCCTGGAAATACTAAAGCACGCACCTCCTGCCCTTCTCCTTCTTTCTCTCTCGAGGCAGTTAGCAGCCCTCTATGTTCTACTCAAGGTTTCTACTGTAACTGAGTGTTTGCTCTCGGTGGGGATTGTTGGGTCTCTGTAACTAATATTAAAAAGACTGTGGTCTAGCCCGGGACCCTGCTTCAGATGAATGAGATATATCAGATGAAATGAAAACTGCAATAAGATAACATCTGTTTTAAGTTGGTGCTGTTAACAATATTATTAGTTTAACTGAAGTACTTTGTGTGTGAGAATAACCAATAAAACAGTGTATTTTAAAAGAAAACACTAATTATAGTTATCACATCACAACAAATCTACATTATTGTTTACTATTTATTATTGGATTTTTATCCCATGAATATAATGGCTAAGAACAGAAACACCTTTAACTCACTTCAAAGCACAGCTGCAGAAAGGACACAGTACTTGATTAATTTCATCAGCTTTTATATTTTAATTAAAGTACACTCACAGTTTTAATTCAATTTTAGAAGGAACTGTTTGGTATTATTGTTTATCCAGTATATTCTGGGCAGGACATGCTGACGATATCTATATTGGCTCTATGCTCATATGTGCATAGCTGCCTTGTAAACAGTTTGTTTTCCATCTGTTTCTCGATCAGGGCTGTCTCACTCAGCTGGATGAGGAGTTTGTGTTCAACCCTCTCTCTCTGAGCAGTAACCTGTACCAGCACCTCAGGAGTAGAGGCCTGCTCTCCCAGCCACGATACCCATACAGGTCAGAGGGGGCTGCCGTGATGATGCAACCAAGCATGCAGATATGATGCAAATACATCTGTGTACCATTTCTGATGTTAGAACAGTGGACTAGATTTATTATTAACATGTGATGGATGCAGAGGCCACTCCGTCTCCACAGTGGAGATAAAGGCTGTGATGATAATATGGATGATGGTTATGTAACACATTGTGATTGTGATAACGTAAGACTATAGATATAAGTGATAAAGATGGTAGTTATAGGGACATGATATTGATGATTCCAGACTGCAGCCAGCAGCTGCCCACAGAGACCAGCGTCAACCACTAGAGGGCCCTAAACCCACAGGCAGCAGGCAGCTACGGCAGGTAAACACACGGCAGCTTTATGACAGTGTAAAGGTCATGATGTGCTACTCCTATAAATGAGCACAGTGATTGTGACATGAGTGAAGTCGACAACATGAGTTAATAGTTAATATATTGTCACTCAATGTAAATTATTTGACTACACGAAGCAGGAAGAATATTTTTATAACCCTCATCAAGCTTGAGTGCGGGGAGTGTGTGCTTTACGAATGCAACTCCCTCCTCACTTTTCACTTCCATATTTACTCAATAGATGCCAGCACTTACCATGGACAGGCAGTTTAGTACATAAATACACAAACACAAGCATAAATCAGCCCTTTATATGGCATGTTGCATTGATCAGATTATGGGCCAGATATTCATCTGACTTGGAAAAGAAAGACCAGCAGGTCCTTTTCATGGAACTAAAGGTGAGATTGATACATTTGAGGTCATTTTACCTCAATGTTTTTAACAACCTCAATGCTGACAACACTAGTTAATCAGAAACAGCGGAAAGTAGGAGTTATATCTGTGTATGATGTCTGGGACCAGTTTAAATAATCAGACATGACCATAACCTGCAGTGGTGAAACATTATAACCACTGGTGGAAGAAGTATTGAGGTACCACAACTTAAAAATATTCCAGTACAGAAGTATTCTCAGCTAAAGCTAAATCAACCAAACTAAACCCACCTATAAAACCCAGAACAAAAAGTAAACAAAATAAAAAAAAGATAAAACAAAAGGTATTCAAAATATTTGGCTGAAATATCCCTTTGACTGTTATTATTATTATAAATCATATAATTTTTAACTTAGTTACACTCCACCACTGATTATAACACAAGAAGAATTACCATGACTGAATATACAGGTGCATGAGAATGAAAATCATAAGGTGAGGTTTATGGAGCCAAAAACAGTACTGTGGTACTTTCAGGTCTATTTTTAAAGTTAACACTGTTTTCCCTTAGAGTAGAGTATATGTAGGCTGTTTTTATATCACAAAAGATTCGCCTTTAATGTTTTGACCAATTTGCATTTGTTACATGATTCATCAACAAAATTCTCAATATAAGAGGGGTGTCTTTCCAAAAGTCTGGTAACAATTCAACTACTGCAAATGTGTCAGCGAGTATTTAAAAAGTGGCTGCTGTGTTGCAGACAAGAATCCCAACATGTCTCATAACTTGTGGTATAACTCATAATATACCTGACTTTCACACCAGCGATCCTTTTGTCAGTAGAGTATGTTACACACAGTGTCTCACTTTGAAAGATCTTAACAGTTCATCCCTCCATCCTCCATGTTAATTTGTGCATCAACTCAAGCCGACTGTGAGCTGAGAGTATGCTGGCAGTGTGACTCATCGGGGTTGATAAGGCTGCTGACATGCAAATAGTTCACTACAGCGGCAAAACACACAAGAAAATGTTTGTCCGCGCTGCTTATGTATGCTCTGTTCTTTGGCAGACTCTGTTCTCATTCACTGCAGTGGAATTTAGCCCTCAGCTCTTAACATAGGGTTTGTATTTACCCCGTTACTGCAAATATCTTCCTCCTCTCATCTTTCCTCTGTAATTCTTTATCTCTCTTTGGTTCCACCTCCTTCAGAGCCTCCCCCTCTTTTCTTGTCTCCCTTACAGCTCAGACTGTATTATTCTACTAAAGTTTAAATAGCATTCTAAGTAGCATGAAGACGTTCTGTTTTCAAATGTAAATGGTGTGTGTTGTCTATACTCAGCCACAAAACCAGGGTCGCCAAGTGGGAACGAACAGCAAAGTCAGGGCCACTGTGGCTCCCTTCCCCTCTTGCTCCCCCCACTCCTCCTCCTCCTCCCTGGGACCTCCTCCTGCTAAGGCCTCTCGTCCGGCTCTGACACTCCTCAGCAGCGGCAGTGGAAGCCACCGGGCCGCAGGCCCTGCTCGACAGGAGGAAGAGGATGATGATGACTCCATGGTAACGCAGTAAGAAACACTGGAGGGTGGGTTCAAGAAAGTGGGCCAAGAGAGCAAAAACGTAACACGGAAGTGACGAAGCGAGAGAGAGGCGGTGTACTACATCCTCAACAAGTCACTTCAAAGGGTTTCTCCAGTGAGTTGCAGTGTAGCTTAGTCAGCACACACACACACAGTTGGTCTCCATTGTAAAGTTTGTGAGTAATTAAGCAGCTCATTAAGGCTTTAAAGACTTTGTAAAGCCACACACTAATTTGCACATAGACATCGCACACAGCCACATGTGTGCGAACACACACACTATTCTGCGCTACACGGGGGTATTTACAGCTTCTTTTGATACTTGAATTCATCTATATTTGCTCCCACCACACGAACAGTATTAGCTAGATCTGAGTTTAACAAGCCTGTGTGTGTTTGCGTGTGGGCTTGTGTGAACGTGTGAACGTGTGAGAAAGGAAAGTTTCAACTCGCAGCCGTCTGCAGATTGCTGAGGCTGCAAAACTTCAAAATCGCACAGCATGGACAATGAAAAGGCAGGAGAAAAGATGAAAAAGAAGGGAAACAGCAGGACAATGGAGGCTTGGAAGAGGCAAAACAAAATGGATGGGAAGGAACAGAAAATAATAAGAAATGTCAAAGAGGAACAAAAGGTGGGTGGGGTGGGTGATCAGAGGGAGATTAAAGGACATCCAGAAAGCTCTGTATGACACATCAACATAAAAGAAATCGGTTCAAAAATTATGATTCAGGCATAATAAAGCAGACATACTGCAGCTATAGTGCTATAGTATAAACAGACTTATAGCCAAACACACACATATGCACATTTCATTTCCATTTGGCCCTTAAGCCCCCGTCTGAACACAGCTTCACTGTTTTAATGAGACAGAGAATAAAGCAGCAGACAGAGGGGGCTCTCTGCTCTCTGTCACCCCCACAGCTCGCTCTCTCTCTGGGGGTTGAAAGGCAGCATAAGGGCAGTACGTCCTTTAAAGTAGTGAATTTGACCATTTTTCCACACTGAAAGGTTTGCGATATAGAGAGGGGTCGATTCGAGTTCACCAAGTATCATCACTGTATTACATTCAGTGACATTTAATCATTCATGCATATACGCACATATTGGTCAGTTAGACACGTCCACCGTCACTATTATTAATGTATTCCTGGTCAAGGAGCTTTGTCATCCACACACACAGGCTTAATCAGTCTCCCGCCATTCCACCCCCTTGTTGAACCTCGTAACATTAGGGACTACCCAGTGGCAAATGACTTGTCCTGTGATGTCACAGGACTTCCGCATTCACAAATTACATCTACAACGATCCTTTTGTCTCTTGTCTTGAAATCCAAAACTACCCACTGACATTTTACCCACTTCTCTCTCGCTCTCTGTGTCCTTTCTTTAATCCTCCCAAATTCAGAGCAGCTGAGTCAATGGATGTGAATTTCATACATTTGTTCAAAAAGCTGAAGCTAAAGTTCCTCTGTTTGACCCGGACGGTCTCAGCCACACTCCTCGTTAAATGTCACTGCTACAGATTGATGAGGCGTGACCATCAGTTAACAGAAGTGTCCCTATTTGTGTGTGCAAATACGTTCAGAGTTGAATTTTACTGGAAGTGTCTCGCTAGTCAGGAGATTTTTCAGGTTTTGGCAAGTTTCTGACCCATATCAACTGTTCTTTCTTTTCCCAGAAAGTCCTTTGTTCATTGTTGTTTTGTATTCCACCACACAGACATCCTTATCTCATAGTGTTGACTTTCTCATGTTCCTGTTCTGCTTTCATGTTCTGTGTACTGACTGTTTTTAAATCTAATTTATTATCTGAGCTGCAAAGGAAATTGTCACGGATCAATGTCGTTTGTTCACTTTGTTAAATAATTGTGCATGAACTGTGGGTTAATAAATTGTATCCTAAAGTAACATTTTGGGAGGAGGAGTGTTATAGTCTCTTTTCTGTGAGGTAAAGAAGCCTGAGAAACGATGAACAGCCACTGCTTTACCTGCAAGGTCAGGGCCGCTGTGTAGAACTTCATCAGGCTGCTAGTGCTGTGAAGAGGCACATGAATATGACTATGTAACAGAGATGCTCACAAGTCTTTGAGCTAGAGTCCAAGTCAAGTCTCAAGTCTCTCGTGGTTATTACGAATACCGTATCACCTGCTGCGTTCAATCCAGGTTGCTAATAAAACTGCATGGCTATAAGGAATTCTGTAACTGTAACCTGTTTTTCATTTACAGAGCACAACCATGTAATGTGCAATGCAATTAATGACAGCTTATTAAATACTGTAAGTCAACACACTCCCCAGACTCTTAAACCCAGTGTAACGTTAACTAAATAAAACTGTGACGTTGCATAATCAACTATAAAGCTGTAACCTGTTTTTAACTTACAGAGCACAACCATGTAATGTGCAGTGCAATCACTGACAGCTTAAACTACTGAAAGTCAACACACCACCAGACTCTCAAACCAGTGTAACGTTATAACCAGGTTACAACTAAATAAAACTGTAAGGTTACATGATGAACAATAAACCTGTAACCTCTTTCTAGCCAACGGTAATAATTAAGGTGATGGCAGCCAGCGGGACGTAATAATTACATTAATCGACCACCACAAGTTTGGCAAGTAAACAAACGCTTATTCATCTTTTCATAACGCACGACAATGGAATTAACATCCTGTAGGTCGTAGCTGAAGCAAGAAGTAAGCTGAGCTAAACATGTTTACTAACCTCAGGTTACTCACCTATCTTGCGTTCAGCGCGTCTTTGTTTGGGTCTTGTTTTATGAAATTTTAAAGCCAAAGTTTATGATGAATGGCGGAGCAGCTGCCGGTGTTTGTTGTCCTCTCTCACGTGCAGCCGCGCGCAGCAGATGCTACGTGTTATGTAGGCAGGTTGTAGGTAAGGCAGGGAGGGGAATAACAGCAAGCTCATCAGACGTTTCCTAAAAATAAACATTGTTCAGGAGTCGAGTCTGAAGTCTTTTGAGGACGAGTCAGAAGTCACTGTGTGTGCCACTTAAGTCGCACTCGAGTCCGAGTCTGTTACTCGAGTCCCCATCTCTGCTATGTGACATATTGGTTGATAGATTAGACTCTTATGTTTATGGCCATTGTGGTCCCTTTTCAATAGCAACGGTAGTAAAACAACAATCCAGGTACAATGCATGGCATGGTGTCAGGTGAAACCTAGAAAATATGGAGTAAAACTTTAAATCTATATGGAGTAAAACTTTATGCCCAAATTAATAGCAGAAATATGACAATCTAAAAAATAAATATGACAATCTTAATGTAAATGCTCCATACTTGTATAGCGCCTTTCTAGTCTTTTTGACCACTCAAAGCACTTTTACACTACATCTGCATTCACCAGTCATACACTGAGCCTAAGTGCTCAAACAGAAACTAACATTCACACTCACTCATACACTGGCGGAATAGCCACCAGGGGCAAATCGGGGTTCAGTAACTTGCCGAAGGACACTTCGACACGCAACCAGGGGGATTGAACCGCCGACCTTCCGATTAACGGCCAACCCGCTCTACCTCCTGAGCCACAGCCGCCCCGTGGATGTGGCTAAGCCCATCACTAAAAGGTTGAGACGAGGTCAGGAAACGGCATATCTTCTTTCACATCTGTTTTTTATTCTGTGCACAGTTGATTGGTTTAGGTTGTGGTGGTATTGGTGAGAGGATTATTCAGACATCTAACCACCTTTAACCTTTTACCACCCAATGTTGTACCCGCTGCAGGCTGGCACGAGGTAGAACTGCACCAGATTGCCGTTGCAATGCCAAGGTACATGAATATGAACATGTATATAGTCTCTGTCCGGTGGTCTCTTGCAGATTGCATATGTGGAAATATTGCATTAGTGTCAGCAGGTGTTGGTCTCCATGTTGGTAATCTGCGCTTATTATTTTAATTGAGCGTGCCACTTTGGTTAACGGTATCACTAGTTATTGTAATTTATATATTATGGTTGTTGGGACACACAAAAAAGCATTTGCTTAAAAGCGATGTTAAAATAAAGTTAAAATATACTTTTTAATCAGTGATTAGTTAGCAAAGAATAAGAGGTGAAACAAATTGATGTGTGTAGTTAGATTGGTCTGGCGCTGGAACTGCATGACACTCGTGTTTTTGGTGTATTTGGCGATGGGGCGGTGACCTTTTCACTGCACCATTTTGCACACAGTGAACAAATCATGAGTATCTCAGTGAGCACGAGCAGGACTCTGCTGTTATGCTTCCACATTTGCCGATGAGCTCTGTATTTTTGTACGTAGGTTTCTTGTCTTTGTGTTTCTCAACACTTCTAGCATTTGATCCGGCTTACTACAATGTTTTGCCATTTCAGAATTCTTTCCATTTGGATCTTTTGCGGTCCGCCTGGCTAAAAGTGCAACGGTATGTCTCATCAGTTTCTATATCTGAGTCAGGATAATATTAGTGCTGTGACTTCCTGCTTGATTCTCATTGTACCGTTTCCTTTGCTGTACCCCTTTGCCGGGGTTGAGAACAGAAAAGACCTCTGTCAGACTCTGTCTGACAAACTATAATACATTGTCTCTTTCCTGTAATTGTCCTTAGTGGCCATAACAGCGGCACAAGACTCATCGAACACAGCAGGAACACAAAGGTCTCAATTCATATACAGGTTACAGGCACTGAATAATCAACTCTCTCACAAGCATAGCTGAGTGAGACTAGAAAGAGGAAGTACATCTCTGGGAGGTGGAACTGAGTTGGCTACAGGACCTGCACTATAGTCCTACTGACAGAAATCTAAAAGGTCTGTACTCCTATGCAGGTCTAGAAAGTCTAGAAAAGTCTGAAAATCAGAGACAAAATCATGAACCTAAATCTCAAAACCACCAGATACCAAACCTGGTTATGAGAGGATGCTCTGAAATAGTCTGAATTTTCTGCAGTGATTTAGCAGTGTCACATTCTGAAAAAGAAATCACTTTATCGTCACTCTTTACCTTTATACATATTTTCAGTAGGGTTTTTGCATTCTCTTTATTTGGAGCAATGGAGCGACAATCTGAACAAGAAACTGTCACTTCCTTCAGATGCTGAGAGAGGGCTGATTGAAACTCCCTTTCAGACACACATGACTGAATGGGTTTGCCCACGCGCAGCTAAAAATAAACACTGGTGGTCTGCAGAGTCAAAGACAAGAGGAAACCGGACAGTTTCAGGTGTGTCTGAAGGCAGAGCAGACGAATCCTCATCAGATGTGCTCAAGAGAACGGCCTCGTATTTAGTGCACCGCAATCTTAAAACAGAACGGGGGAAATTGCATGCAGCTGAGTTTCACCTTGAGGGTGTTTTGTATTCAGTAGTGCAGGTGACAGATGTGAGATTTCCACAAGATCAGACACAAGAAGGGTCTTGACATATGTCTGCATGGGCTGCATTGAAAGTTTCTAGATCTTGAAACTTTAGGGGACAGCACAGATAAACATCATGATTGTTGCGGTTAATAATGTATCTCTTTATTTCAAACGTTGCAGCTCTTATAGTTAATATTTATTACTTAAATGGGACAGTTATTGCATTAACAGACTTGTCCGATAACAAATAGTGGCAATGTCAGCAGAGGTGTGTAGAGGACCCCTTCTGATCCATCCTTGGAATCCTTCTAGTTGCCACTATGAGCTCACCTTGTCTGACCGTCCTCAGTAACATTATCAGGACATGATAAGGGACCTCTGCACCACTCTCTTTTCTGAAACTGAGGGCCATATAGAGGCACACTAAGCAGCTAAAGCCAAGTGTAGACTACACGACTTTCACCGTCGACAGATTGCCGTGCTGTTCAGGCAACACAACTTGCTGTCTTGTGAAGGGAGTCTTGAAGTCGATGTGGTGTTCACACTACGTGACTGATCGGTGACAGTGGGTCACACACTACACGAGCTGACAAGGGCTGTGTCACCCAACGACTGGTCTCCAAACCACATTTTGTCAAGAAAACACAAGTGAAAAGTGTCACGGGAAATGACGCAAAACCACACGTCAGCAGCAAGGATTGGTGAGTAAAAAATGTTTTGTAGGTAAAAGGAGCTGCCTGCTCTGCCAGCTGCCTGGACTTTATTTTGCCCCAAACAGCAAATGTACCAACTTTACAGACGTAACCTGTAAGCTAGCTAGCAACGGGTCCACTGGGAGTGTTTTTGTGAGGCTCGGCCAGAAGCTCCAGTTCTGTCTGTTATTTCTCTCCAGTTTCTTTACTTTTTTTTCTCCTCTCTGTACATTTATGCATCAGAAGCATAGAAGATATGCATTGTCTTTGTGCCAGTTTGCGCCACACCCGAACAAATTCACATATCATTGTGCCTCCCTTAACTGTATGTGCAAAGTGTTTTAATTAATAAACAGCAATTAAATCTTTGAAAAATTCTGTAGTTACGTTTTCTAGCATGTAAAGACAGCACACAAAAAAGCACTGGCTGGTGTGAAGCCTAGTTTCAGTGCCTCTTGTTGTTGGACTGATCCTGTTCTCCTTCCGTTAGTCTGACATGACCTTTAAAAAAAAGAACGACCGAGCAAGAGATCTTGACAGGAAGAGGACAGCCACACAATGTTGAAGAGGACAGGAAGACTGTGACTGACATGATAACAGCTAAAGATTGTGTGTGTGTGTGTGTGTGTGCGCATGTGTCTGCGCGACGTCTACACACAGACATGCAGAGACCTCAAACCCGCAGATTAAACTGTCTGGCCAAATTTAGCATCATGTGGCTAGCAACACCTATTCAAAACAAGCGCGTTGAGTTGTGTCCGTCATTATAATAATAGTGCTGTGAATTGAAGTGGATTTTTTGGTCTCCTATTTCAACATTTATCAATAAATCCTCACTTTTGTAAGTCAGTGTGCTTCTTTTTGTGTCCTGCAGC